ATGTACTTATCGACTAATGTTAATATCGCGTGCGCTTGCAGCTTTTTGTTTCTCACGCCTGACGCTACGTCAAACTCGATATTGCTGCTTTTTTTTCCTTAGGCTTCGGTATTGCGCACTCGGTAACGACGCGATATACGTACACTGGTTTGCATAACGGTCTCATGTGCTTGTTTCCGGCGCATTTCAGCCGGGCAATTACCAGGAGGATCTTGCTTTCGAGCTATTCGCGGACGAGTTTTCTTATTCACACCGAATAGAGATTGACCACGCGGCAGCAATAACAATGTTCAAGGGCGCGGCGAAGTACACACAAACCGACAAGTACGTAAGCGACGCGTCAAGAAGCCCGGTTAAAGGGCGAGGCAATTCTGAGGCTGCTCTATTAATGCCTTATCCACTTATTAATTACTCCCTTCCGAGAAAGAATTATCAGCGGTGAGGTCTCCCGTCATTGCGTTTCAAAAGTCGGTGAAAACAAAAAAGAAAGTGTTGCAGCAACTTTTCTTTTTTTTTTCCGCTGATTACGCGCATCAAAAGCGACGGCGACAACGACAGCGACTTCGAACGAAGGACTTCCCGACCGCGGAATAGCAGTGCACGCGCGCGTCCTGGAGCGGCAGAAGAGGGACGACGGGGAAGGCGGGGGGAGGGAGGCAGGGTAGGAGGGCGGTTGAACGACGCTACATTAAGCCGATATATCGCGAGACGGATAAATAGATAGACACGACGTAGTGGGAGACCGAGCAGGACGGAGATACAAATGAATGGTATTCTAGAAGCGTCCAAATGGCGGTCGCGCGCGACGCTTGGCACAATAAGTGATTTATGGCGTTGTGCCCCCTTAAGCGCTGCGAGATTCCCCTTTCCTCCCTCCTCACCGCCCTTCCCGAGGCCCTCTTTCGTCGAGCAGCGATGACCCGATATGTCAATATTACGGTGCAACAATAATTTGGCCACCGACATTGTGTAAGCACCGAACGCGTCGGATACACGAGGTGCGCGATTATATGAATGACTGATTAAATAATGTAATGACAATGCTGAGGTAAAAGTGTGCCAATACCTGAACACTAACAACACTGGCATCTAACTATATATATATATATATATATATATATATATATATATATATATATATATATATATATATATATATATATACATATATATATATATACACACACACATACATGAATATTTTTATGGATCTGTATAGTTATTTATTTGGGGCTTTTAAAAAACAAATATTTAAATTCTTAAAACGTAGAAAAAAATATATCCTATCTATATCTTATATTGAAAGTTTAAATATTTGCATTTAAAAACCAAAACAATAAAAATGTCCAGAGTTAGGTATCGATGTTATTAGTGTCCAGGTATTTGGTACTCTTTTACTTTAATGGCCATTAGACTATTTCCCAAGATTGTGATTCATCCAAGTGATTACAATAGATTTCCCCTTGAATGTTAAAGAGCCAAGATAAATCCAAATAAAATGAAAACCCTAAGATAAACACAAAAAATGAGTTTATAACAAACTTCTCGATTTCCCTCTCACTTTCTCCGTGTCTCTCTTCACTTTCTAGGTACTCTGCCATTTTCGTTAATCGACCCGCGGTGAAATTCCGATAAGCTAATTGACGTGATGATTAGAATATCGTCGGAATCGCCGCGACAATAGAAAGAGCTACGCGACGAAGACATTATCGAAGGTCAACGCGCGCACAATATCGAGGGGCATGTGCGCGCCTCCTCTCCCTCCCCCCTTTCCACCGGGCGCGCATAAGTGCATCCGTCGGAAACGAGAACGCGAGCGAGCGCGCGCGAGAGTATGTAGGCCCGTTCCTTTCTTCCCACTTTCTCGTGAGTCTTGTCTCTCCCCCTTTCTCTCTCTATCTCTCTTCGTCACACTATCATAACGAGCATTCTCCGTTTCATTTATATATACATAATACTCTCATTTTATGTTTATACCCTACATGTATATACATTGTATACACACACATAAAATAGAAATAGAGTAATGTAGATAATATGTACATGTATGTATATGAATGTGTACAAACTGGAAACATCCAAAGCCAAAAAGTGTGATTGAGAGAGAGAAAGAGAGAGAGAGAAAATAAATAAAAAATATAAACATATATAAAATTATTACACAATAATGTTCACCTATAATGTGTAGATAACTATGCAATAGTCATCATAATTAAAAATTAATCAGATGCCATAAAACGATTAAGCTAATTCTAGCATAAATTTGAATGCATAAATGGCTTATTATGCACGAGCAACATATATCATTCATAAAAATCATGCTACTGTAAGTGTAAGCAATGAGAGGTTAAAGTTCCTAAACTTTTGGAATTCTCGTTTGGCCGATTGTCACGGCGAAATTCGGATAATCTGATTGATGTAATCGATGTGACGCGCAAGATGCAACGTGGCTCGAAGGGAACGGGCGGCGGCGACGGCGGTGGCGGCGTCGTCGTTCGTCGATAAATTCGCGAGGCGACAATTTCGCAAACGGTCGTCTCCGCTGCTCGCAGCGAGAGAGACGATCGTGAACGTTCGACGCACGGTCGCGATCACACGCATGCACGCACGCGGGACGAAGGCATACACGAAAGAGGGGAAAGTCGGTGGCAAGCGCGCGCGGCTGCGGGGTGAGGGGTAATAATCGGGCCAGTTGGAGAGCGCGAGCAAAAAGAAAGGCGCGTGGCTCTCTCGAAGTGAGTCCTATCCGCGTGTCTCCTTCTATTTCCCCCTATCTCCCTTCCCGTCTACACCTCCACACAATTACTTATTTTGCGAGGACGTGATTACCAAGTGATAAAAGCGCAATTAAATTCGTAGGTCGTAAACATTTGTATAGCTCACGAGGTGTTTCAACATGCGGAAGATAAGGTGCCGACGCGAGCCGGACCGCGAGTGTCGTCATGTTTTGAGACAAATCACCGGGAATAATGCCGCGAATAATAATTATCGCAAGAAATATACCTGCAGAAATAATCACCGCAAGTTACACGAATTATTTCAAGTCACAATTACCGTGAATAATAAATATTTTCACAAGAGAGATATAATCATTGTGAGTTACAATTGTGTTGAGTAATAGTTACTAAAAGTAATAATTATAATTACAGGAAAAGTATATATAATAATTATAATAATAATTACGAGTAATAATAACTATATATATGAGCAGTAATTGTAATAATTACCACGAGTAACAATTGCCAGCCGATCGCTCGCCTTTTAGTAGCCAAGCCGACATTGTCTAACTCGCGACTTACGCGTGTTTCGTGACCTTACGTTCAACAGTGCGTACTGTTGATCATTCACCGCTGTCATGCACGCCGTGAATGACAGCGGTGTCTAAGTACGACATCGTCTAAGCGGTTGTCCAAGCCGGAACCGTCTCAAGATCGAAAGGTATCGATGCTACTCGGCTTGCTTATACACACACTCGGTACGAACAGAGAAACTTCCACAAGTATCTGCTTATTGTTTGCACGTTTACTATTTACCTATGCGTCGTACACACACCATTGTGCCGTGATACTTAACGAGTCTGCTCTTGCCGTTCGCTACAACAAACTGGCCGGGTCTCGCGCGCTTTGTCCGCGGAAGACCGGTGAATCGCGCGAGCCACGAGGCAGCTCGGCGAGGGAGACGCACCGGGACGCACGCCGGACACCATTGACGACGTCGTGTACATGCTTGCGTCTCCCGCCGCGCCGTGCACAAAGGCGCGCACACACGCACAGAGGACCCAAGCCGCCCGCAGGACGGTTCCACTCAGCCGAACGCTTCCTGCGCTTTCTTTTGGTCTTTTCTCTCTCTCTCTCTCTCTCTCTCTCTCTCTCTCTCTCCTCCTTACCGATCCCTTCTCCGTTTTGCTCCCGCGCGCGCGTTGCCACGAATCCGAATCTTAAACAATGCTGCATACGCGCAATCGTCCCCCAAGGACGGAAAGTGTAACGCGAACGGTACAGTTAAAAGGAACAGACCTTGTGCGTGTCACGCGTGGAGCAGCGACGCCGACGCTGCCGATGCTACCGCCGCGCGAGCGAAGCGACGCACGCATGGACGCGCGACGGACGAGCGAGCGAATGAGCGAGCGAATGAGCGAGCGACGCACCGTACGACGGTGCGATGATGGTATGTACGCGGGCACAGAAGTGTGTGTACGTACGTTTGATACGCGTACACAAACACGAGCGCGATGCGCGAATACGTATGTAAGGCGCGCCAACTGTCGCTGGCTGGCTACTTGCGGGAGCGAGCACGCAGGCAGGCAAGTGAGTGAACGGACAGGAAGGAAGAAACTCACTGCACTAACCTGTCGGAGGCGACTCACTCTCCCCTTGTATTCCTCGGCTGAGACGCGTCGTCGTATTTCCCCAAGTCCACGGCTAGTTGGAGTATTTGCACTGGATTGGCGGCCACACTGCGATCACCAAACTGTTCACACTCGTTCTCTCTCCTTCCTTCTTACTCGCTCGCTCACTCAGTCAGTCAGTCACTCTCTCGCTCTCTCGCTCGCTCGCTCTTGCTTGCTCATTCGCTCTCTTTCTTTCCTTCGCGCGCAAGCACGCTCTCTCTCTTTCTATCCTGCTCTCTCGCTCTCTCCCTCTCACTCGCTCACATTCGCTCACAGAGGCACACACACATGCACACAGCTTACTCTTTCTCTCTCTCTCTCTCTCTCTTTCTCTCAAGCCTCTTTCTCTACCTCTCTCACTCTAGCACCCTTTTTCTCTCCGCTTACACGGCGTTCCTCCGATGCGTCTTGTTCGTGGGATATTCAGGCTTCCCCTGCGACGCTGCCGCACGGCGATCCCACTCGGCTGCCGCGGCGAAACTTGGCGTCTAACCGGGTCCTGTGCCGCGGCACGATGCGATGTATCCGCACGGATACGGGCACTGGTGTTAACCGCGCGCGCGCCCGCCCGCCCGACGCCCCGACGGCCGCAGTATACGCGTAAGATCGCGCACGATTCGGCCACGAAAGAAAGGAGGTCGTTCGCACGCTCGTCTCGGTTACACTCGGTCTCGAATTGCGGCTATATGGCGCGGACTGCACTACTTCGCTCGCGGCTGCTCTCCCTCGCTGGAGCAAAATGGCGGCCCCCGGCCGCCCGAGTGACTCGCGCGCGCCGCCCGATGCTCGCCGTCACCGGCCGAGTGCGACCGACGCTGGCCGAGCGCGCCCGAAGCGCCGAGCCGACCGCGCCTCTGATTGGCTGGCGCTCGCTGCCAATCGCGGGCTCGGACGCGCTTCCCCGCGCGTTCTAATTGGCTGGCGCTCGCTGCCAATCGTAGGCTCGGACGCGCCTCCGCGCGCGTCTTTGAAAATCCGTCCGAATGCCGCTTTGAAGAAGAGGCGCCTTTCTCTCTCTCTTTCTCTGTCGACGACGCCGTGAGCCATCTGGGTCAATTCGTTCGCACTAGGATATCCCTATCTTTCGCAGCCTAAAGTCACGCGTAAACAAACTGATAATACACACCGTTTTCGTGACGAAAAAGTGAACCAACAGCAAGACGTTTCAACGAGTTGACGTGAGTTGTGCCCTGCGTTGCGTCCCGTACTCTGTTCGTCTAGGTGATTTTGCCTTCTTGTCATCGTTGTGGATTTCCTCTCTGTTTTTTACCGTCTTCTGCATTTTGACGTGAGAATGAAACGCTGCGACGTAATAATCGACACGCAGTCGAATTAGCTCGCTCGTCGCTCTTCTCTCCACCTGTCCACGCTGTCTTTGTCGCCTGCCTCGGCCTGGGTAGCCAACATGTCAGACGTCAAGAGTCTTGAGCATCCCACATTGAAGGTGAATGTCTTGTTAGCTTCATTTCTTCGATTTCTCGTAAACAAATGATCTCTGCGATTCCAGTTTAGCGAGGAACATGTAATGCCATTTGGAAATTTTGTTAAAGTAGAAACGCATATAAATATGAATGCAACATGTAAATATAGATACTGTAAATATAGTTACAAATTATATACATAACTATATATATCATACATACATATATTTATTATTTACTGTAATAAATATATATATTATAATTATTATTTTATTATATATACACATTGTACTTAGCAGTAAATATGTATATGTTCTTAAAATGCAACATATATCTATCTTACACTGAGAAATATCCGATATGCCTTTCTTGTACTTTTGTTTCATCGACTTTTTCTTTTTTTATTCAGATTATATTTAGCACACACACACATGCATCAAAAAATATTCTACTGCTAACAAAAGCAATTACCCAATTTGTTTTGTTAAGTAATGATAATTTTCAAAGAATATTTTTTTGGTAATATTTTTAAAATGTACTTATCATAAATGTGAAAGAAGCTCTCTCTTGTTATATATTTAACAAAAGAATTTATTCTCTGTATAAGAATATTGTAAAACTGTGATAGAATTGCAGATATATAAACTTATGAAATACTTAAAACAAGTAACATTTTCTTGAACACGTGTGCTTTCTTGTGTCTATTGACTGCTGAATACAATGATAAATATTTATGATACTTTATAAATTTTAACATGCAACAATGTATACAATTTCGATATGAATAGGTGCCATACGAACTACTGAATAAAAAGTTTCGCTCTGCTCAAAAAGCCCTGGACAGAGAAGTCTCTCATCTCCAAACAATGTCAAATGAGCTCGAGAAAGAACTGAAGGCTGACGAGCCGGAAACATATGTTGCCAGTGGTGATATAACGAAACTGCTGGATGGAGTAGTGGCGAAACTTCAAGTATTGAAACGTAAAGCACAAGAGTCAATCGCTGAGGAGTTGCAGGCAGGCCTGGTATGTAAGAGAAGACTGGACCATCTGAAGAAACACGCCAACACCTCGCCGAGCGCCGTAAATCAGTGGCGGCGGCAGAGACTCGACAGGATGTTGGTGGAATACTTCCTTCGTAAAGGTTACTACAAGACAGCGACCAAGCTGGCTGACAGCAGTGAACTCAGGGACTTAACAAACATAGGTACTAGCATTTAAGTCTTTAATGTTTTGAGTGCTTTTCATTTGAATGTACTTATGAATACCTTGTAAGCATTTAAGTCTTTAATGTTTTGAGTGCTTTTCATTTGAATGTACTTATGAATACCTTGTAAGCATTTAAGTCTTTAATGTTTTGAGTGCTTTTCATTTGAATGTACTTATGAATACCTTGTAAGCATTTAAGTCTTTAATGTTTTGAGTGCTTTTCATTTGAATGTACTTATGAATACCTTGTAAGAAGCATTGAAAGTGTCCACTTACTATGACTGATGGACATTATATTGAAGTCTCATCAATAGACTTGTTTCTCCAGATGGGATCGGTTTGACAGATACGATAGATCGCTGTGATATTTGTAGATGTATTTATGGTGTCACGAGAAGTGGAAAGATCTTTGGCGAATCATGAGACTGCGAGATGCATCAGCTGGTGTCACGACAATCGCTCGAAACTGCGAAAGTTGGGCAGCACGATGGAATTTAATTTGCGCGTGCAGGAGTTTATCGAGTTGGTGAGAAACGATCGGAGACTCGATGCGGTTAAACACGCGCGCAAATATTTTGGCAGTTACGACGATTATCAGTTGCAAGAGATTCAATGTTGCATGGGCCAGTTGGCCTTTCCAGCCAATACTTGTCTCAGTCCATACAAAGACCTGTTGGATGAGAAAAGGTGCGCTCGACAAAGATATAGATATGAAATCAGAATAGATATGAAATATCAGAATGGGAAAGTAACGTGTTACTTTCCCATTCACTATCACTAACTTCCTTTTACTTTTAAGTAATTTTAGGATACCTTTAATATTATCACTAACTTCCTTTTACTTTTAAGTAATTTTAGGATATCTTTAAAAACAGTAATAAGTTATTTTCAAGAAAAGATTTTCAAATCTTGGTGAAAGAAAAGTAATAGAAATTATTTAATTAACCTTAACCTTTAGACCGCCGGGAAAGCTATTTTTGTGACTCTGCACAAATCTCAAAATTCTACGTTATGTCTATGTTAATTATACAGAACAATTTTTGAGAAAAAGAAATCACTTTTTTAATGAAAAAATGCCAGCAAACTAAAAATTAAATAAACTGGTCTTCTTAGTAAATCTTAAATAATGTGATCTAAAATAATGAAAAATCTAAAATAAATCTTAAATAATGATAATGGTAACGAGTAATTTTTCATATAAGTAACAATAAGATATCTTTTTAATATATAACCATAATGAGTTACTTTTTAAAAGTAACTTCCCCACTCTGTGAGCCATTTTAAAATATCCTTGATGTGAGGATTTATTCTAATTCGTCTTTTCTTTTTCTTTTAGATGGGACAAATTAATCGAACAATTCAGGCACGAGAATTATAGGCTATTTCAGTTGGCTAGTCAGAGCGTTTTTACAGTGGCTCTTCAAGCCGGGCTATCGGCACTCAAGACGCCACAGTGTTACAGCAATAACAAGGAGGGCAGAAACCCGAGTTGCCCGGTTTGCAATGAAGCACTGAACGAATTGGCTATGCCGCTGCCTTTCGCACATTGTTCGCAATCACGGCTTGTTTGTAGCATAAGCGGGAAACCGTTAAATGAGTACAATCAACCCATGATGATGCCGAACGGATATGTATATGGAGAACAAGTAAGCAAAATTTTTTTTATCAACACTATCTTAAATATTCTATATATCTTAACCCTTTTTAACGGTCGAATTGTGTTCTGTGAATCAGAAATAAGAAAGAATCAGAAAGTGTACAATGAATCAGAAAGAATACAAATAAGAACAGTTATATAAAAGTCTGTTATATAAGGGTCTGTTAAAGCTTCATTTAAAAGTTATAAAGAAGATATGAAATATGTTTCAAATGGAAACTACAGCAGATTCGTTTTTATTGTCAACACTATGTACTGTGATTATATTGATGTTCCACTTTAAAATGACGATCGTTTTCTTCGATGCAAGATTCACATTATTAAAAAATTGTGTATAATACAAGATTTTTATGTTGATTTTACTCCATTTCAAATTTTACTTACTTCCAATATTAGTTGAGCTCATTCGTAACGTGTAGCATATCTCGTTTCATAAACTTTTTCTCTCATTGTTTCCTCTCAATGCTTCATAGATAAAAATCTAACATCATAAAATTTAGTAATCTTAAAAGCTATAGAATTGATTCTTTTCCATCATACTTTTTTGTTATATACTTCTATAGACCTATTTATGTAACACTGTTCAATTTTTTTCCATGTAATATATTGGCATAATTTGGCCGTTGAAAAACTTGAAAAAAATCCTGTATAATACATGTACTTTAATTATAAACTAATGTGACTTAAGATCATGAATTTCCCCCTAAGAATCATTAATTTAACATATAACACGTTCACACAGGGGAATGTAAACATTTCGTCTGTTACATACAATACGTAATATGGTGAATTTCTCGATGCAGGCTCTAGAAAAGATGGCTCAAGAGAACAACGGTACTGTGATTTGCCCGAAAACCAAAGAAGCATTTCCGTACAAGAAGATCGAGAAGGTTTACGTTATGTAAATCAGATATTTGACACAGCATATATGTCGTATTATATGCAATGCTTACTGAGGCACTCTCCTTGCTCTAATCTCTTATTTAATTAAATACGATTGTATACCGTCGACTAATGGAATACGAGAATAACATTTATTTTTAAGGAAAACCGAGATCGACCGCTTTATTTACGCTCACCCTGTATAGTCGAGATAAGAGCGGACGTGGAGATAGATAGATAGATAGAGAGAGAGAGAGAGAGAGAGAGAGAGAGAGAGAGAAAAAAGGGAGACATTGATCCTTAGTAACTCGAATATTTAAAAATTAATGTTATAATAAAAAATTATTTCTTATATATTAATTATGTATCGTTTTCTATTGATATAATATAAAGGGCGTCTCACAGCGGCTGAGAAATATTTGAATAACATATTCCGGGAATTTTACCAGTCAAAGATATTAATAATTTCTATTCATTTTTCTGTCCTGATTGATTCTTAATAAATCTAACATTAAGAATGCCAGTGGCTGACTCAAATTGTTATTAATATTTTCGACTGCAAATCTCAGTACATTATCGAGGCTGCTTCGCGATAACTGTGAGGCATCCTTTTCTGTATGCGTACGTTGCCATTAGGCAGTGTTAGATTAATGAGGGCTAACGCGGCCAGTTAGTCCTTACTCATTTATTTAACATTCTTTCTACAATAAATTGAACGGTTCAAACAGTTTCCTTCGTAAATCTACTTATTTATATGAGACGCATGAATCTCTTACTTCACAAGGTCTCTTCGATCCCTCTTACGCTCATACACTAGACATGTGTCGAGACTTCCAACTCGACTGAGTCGGGAAGAAAGTCGGAAAGAAGAAGAAGACCAACGCATGCGTGGCCCTTGATGAATATTTTATGGATATTTAATATTCATACAAGAACACATCGACTTCTTTTTTCCGACCGGAATCTCCGGCATGACTAAGCGATCGAGGCTCGCGTCGTCAAGTTATTAACTCTGGACATCGGTCCTTCTCTCTCGAAGCACGATGTACCTTTTCACCGATCTTCCGATTCTCTTTTATTTCCCGGCGATTTTTTTAATTCCTCACAAACGTTCGACTTCGAATCCGATCGAGAGAAGGAACCCGCGGTTTCTGAGTCTCCCTGTATCTCTGCGTTCATAATTATGCACACGCGCACATTTCGACGTGGAGAAATGGCAGAGTCGAGCTCGCGACGATAACGCATCAACCGGGTCGCCGCGAACTTTATTCTCAGGAGATAGCTTGCACCATTTCTACGCGGAAACGAACGCGCTCGTACGTCTTACATACACAGCGTGCCTAATATTAATGGTGAATTCGTCCTTTTAATTATTATCATTAGTAGACTTAAGATCTAGAACGAGATATACGATATGCGTGGGAAACAATCGTGTCGAATGGAAAAGTTTACTCGTGACCGAATCCATATAAAAATATTCCATCTACTCTATCGGTTTCTTTTTCTTCATCTTCATTTTCATTTATCTTTAAATTCAAAAGTGAGTCTTCCGATTATTGGATTTATCATCGAATTCCTTCGACTTTATTGTCTGCATTGCTTCGTACGGAGGATTGTCCATGTAGGAATTCAGAATGCGCTTTTAGAATCATCATTGTCATTTTTCCGTCAGTCTGATAAGATGATGATCGAGGTAAAACGTTCCCTTCTTTCGTTTTCTTTCTCTCATCGCAAGGTTACCGATGGAGAAACGCGCTTCTATTCGCGACGCGATGATTCCATAACTTGCCTATTATCTTATGTAATCTCGTCCAAGAGAGACTTATCTTCCTCATTTCTTCGAAATTGAACGGCTCAATTTCCATTTCCTTAAATCCAAGTAATAAGTTACGATATGACAGAATTCTGGAAAACTTCGATTATCAATTGCAAGTTATATTACGTGCCTCTCGATACGATCCACCACTTTCTCCTAGAATCATCGCGTCGTAAGCGAAACGTCCTTTTTTAGCGCGAACCTTTTCTTTTCAAGTTTGTCGATCTGTAGAGGCTAAATCGACGAGAGATAATGGATTATCGATACGCCTTAAAAGTTGATAGAGATAATGGAGATGATTAGAGTCGATTAGGTACACCAAGCTGGCGTGGCTTTACCTACTTTAGGATTAATTTAAAAAATGCAAGTGTGTGTGTGTGTATAAATGAGCAAGAGATCGATTACGTATGCAATACGTGCGCTCCTGCTGAAAACGCGTCATCTGTGTTGTTTCTAAAATATTTGTTTAAACTTCCATCTATGAGCTTTAACTCGTACCTCTTCTCGTATCAGTGACGATCAGAGAAGAGAAAAAAAAAATGAAACTTTAATCGAACCTACGCTGAGAAAATCACATTTAAAAATTTATTCGGGGATGAGATTTATTTCCCTGAAATAAAGTTTATTTCTGGAAAATTAAAGTTTACTTTCTGTGAAAAATAAACTTTTATCCCACAAATAAATTTGCAGGTATTTTTTCTCAGAGTACTTTGGGAACGATTTAAGTGTTTACAACTGAGTACGAGATCGTCTGGATGAGGTCTCTTTGTACAAAAATACAAAATCGAAAGCTGCTGCCCGTCTCGCGATGCGTGTCACCTTAAAACGTAATGCAAGGTGTGTTCGATGCAAAATTTGAGTGTTATTATTATTATAAAACAGCTAGGAAAAAGTTCCGATGATGACGACGAGTGAACGAAAGATCGCTTGGATTCGTAACGGTGGTCCTGCGAGAAGCATAAGTCGGTCGCGTATGCTTATGGTAAGCAATTACAACACGCACTCTCTAAATCTCTTAGGGTTGATTCTCGCTGAAAACAGGTGAAAATTTGAATTAATTAAATTTCTCAAGACGATATTGCAAATATCGCCACTTTGATAAAAGTTCCACTTAAACTTTGAAAGGATTCTTGCTTCATACGAGTGTATGTTTTAAACGATTAAATTTGTTCATTTAATGACGAAATAAATCAAATTATGGTTTAATTTCGAGAGAAAATCTTCACTCGACAATGTAGAATGGAGAAATTCACTGTGAGTAAAAAGTTATTCAAATTTGAGCAACTTTGTTGTGACTTTATTTTTTAAATGAATTTTACTCAAAGAAGTTTTAAGAGTTTTCTCTAAATTTCTTGCAATAAAATTTCAGCGAGAACGAGTGAATATTTAACTCAAATCTAAAGTAAATTTTTCTAATCCATACGAGTGAACGTTTCTATAGATTGAAGTGAATTTCTTTTTGTGTGACGATTGAATATATAAAATATACTCCTCAACTTTCAAAAGAACGACTTAGAATGGAGACTTTACTCCATATAAGTGAAAAAATTCGAGTGACTCAGTTGTAATTCCATTGTTACTGGAATTTCACTCTGAGAAATTTAGAGAGTATTTTACGATGTCTCAGTTACAATACGCGAAAATATTTTGTCCTCTTTATTAGATGCGCCTTAACTCTAACATTTTAAACTAAAGCTGACGTGAAGTAACGCACGCGCGCGCGTGTGTGTATGTATGTGTGCAATACGATGAAACAACCAAAGAATCATAAAGACTATCGTCATTCAACCAAAGAATCATAAAGAACGTCATTCGCGGAAGAATTATTATTGTGCATCGCGCTTGGATTTCATGCGATCACGATTGTTTATGAAACGAAGGACATTTTGCGATCTGTTTCACAGCTTAAAATAACAAACGTTATCATATACGCTTTATCAACTGTACACGGATACATACGGCGGAAATAAGAATCACGCGCTCGTTTAAAGCGTAATCATGGCCGGAAAGATGTAACCAACTTCCAATTTCGAAGCATGCATTGTTTCACAAAAACGCGCATGGTTTTAGTAAGATTATTAAAACAGCAAACGAGGACTAGTATCGGCTAGTCTCAACTCTCTCATCTCGCTTTTGGAGGCGCGGTTAAATTCGCTTCAAGCGTTATGGAAACAGGGAAAAGAATGTTCCCAGAGATCTGTGAAAATTTCGTATAAAAATTACTCCGTATAAAATCCCTATCGATAATAACCACGAAATTTTCACGTGGAAGTAAATTGTGAAATTGGAAATTCGTGAATGAATCTGTGCGACGAAGAGTAATATAGTCCGCTTTATCGACTCGAGTCTATCAGAGATACCGCGAGAGTGAAAACTTATCGTTTAACTTACTTAATAATCGTTAGGAGAGATCTACTTAAAATTAACTTAAATCTATCGGGACACGCGCGAGAGGTACATGTATACCGTGAACTTATCTCGCGTCTGTTATTCGGTGAGAAAATTCGAGACACTGCGAAGTAAATCGCAGAATAAACACAACCATGTTAATCAATGAGCACAGTCGAATAAAGCTACAAGAAAAAAACAAAAAATGTAAAATACATAGAGCTCGATACGACAGATTGTTGGCGGATAATGCTTTAAATAATTCCAGTTTGATTTTGCAACACCTGTCGTCGATGACGACGCAAACGGCGTAAAAAAGTCAGTAGAGAAAAATCACACGACATCATCGGACAGACGTTGGTTCGAAGACAAAGCATCGAAATCGTGTATGCGTTTAATTAGTGAGCGATCGCCGCTCTGAATCTTCGTCGCCTTCGATAAAACTGTCATCTCTCTATTTATATTAACAGTGTATATATCTATATGCACACGGGACGTCTCGCGCCGGTCGCAACCTCAGCTTCAACGACACATTCGCGGACGTGCCAACGGAGGAATCGCGAGCCGCAAGAGACGCCCCGTGCCTGTGTCCGCGTATACCCAGGTTTGCCAGCCGGACCAATTCCGAAACACGGACTGTCCTCTCTTTGTCTCTTTGCGCGGGAGAATTCAGCGAGTGGCAACTTTAGCGTAGACTCTATCTAAAATTGTAATGCTTAACGATTAGTAAGAGGCATATTCTCGCGCGCCGCGCGCTTAACGCCAAACACATGGCCCCTGCGAACGCGATGATCTCCGGGGAATGCACCGGTGGACAATGGAAAATTCGCGGGAGAGGCTTCAGCGCTAAGCGCGGGGCGAATGTTATCATCATATATATATGGGAGAGATCTAAATACGACGTGATCTCTCATCAACGATGAAATCTGCATAGCGGTTTCTATCCGAACGACGCGATAAGAGAGAACGTGAATATGATTCTTTTTCTTCTCATTAATAAGGCTTATTGGTCCGGTTTTATTTTATAATCGGGTGGGGTCAATAATAATATAGTAAAATTGTCAGGCTGGTGCAAAAGGCTCGTCTTCTGGTCTCTTGTAAAGAAAGAAGGTTGGGAGATTCCTTGAAAAGAGAGAAAAAGAGTTACGAGAACTTTCTTTTCTGGATGGAGATTAACCATAAAAATAACTTGAATAAAAATATTATCGCGAAACGGTACATGATTTTGCTTTCAATTTTACCCGACAAACCTTTTGCACCACTGTGCCTGTTCGTTTCACTCACACTTTCTAACATTTCCTGAGCTTCAAACGAACTCGAGTGTTGAATATATTCGAGCGTTGGATAGGTGAAAGAACAGAGGAATCGAGTGCAGATGGGGCGATTGAAACGAACAGGCCCATCTACAACTTGCTTCTAATCCTCGTGAAATCATAGATCCCAATATTCCCTATTCAGATCTGTTGCAACGACTGCGCGAGATCAATCTCTGTACGCATAGTAGATCGTCTTCCGGATCGTTAATGCACTTTGCGTGGTCTTTACGTTTATAACTTACGTACGCTCGTGTGTAACTAGTTGTATAACGTACAGAGTCGTCCACAAGAGGAACTGAAGAATCCAGCGGCGTAAAATAGAGAAAAGACGTCTAACCAACGTGACTCGAGAAACTGATCTCTTGGAAATATCGTCTACGCCTCTGAATTCTTCGGCCGTTCTTCCAGGTCGCTCTCTGTACACCGTCTCCTATCAATGGTACGTCGAAGATTGAAACGTATAATTCCGAAGAGTTCAGTTTCTGTCTCGGCATCGGCGGGGGAAGGGGCGAGAGAGACAAGTCTGTACGTCATGGGAAAGAGGAGAGCTCATGTTCCGCTTCCCTATAAGCACATCGCTGCGCATCTGCGATGTCCGAGCTCGACGGAAGTTATACTGGTGTCAATCCTCGGTCAAAAATCATGTCGTCGATGTGAATAAAGTCACACACTTATAAAAAACATACGCATGGCTCCGAACGGTCGCGTTTAGTGTCAATCTATACTGTAAAGAATTGTACGATTAAATTTATGTATATATATATGTATATATACGTTTAACGTACATGCGTTGATGTACGTATGCACATGTACATTAAACGTATGTGTATGTATAAGTAAATGAGTCTCTCGATGCGACTTTCCTTCATTCGAGTTGACGTAAGCGGCTTTCGCTTCTTCGAGAAACGTCGTATCTTTATTCGTCTCTTAATCTCGGCAACACCGGAAGTAACGTTTTATTCCTCCTTCTCGGAATATCTTCAGTTGTTCTTATGCTTCAGTTTGTAACTGCTGGATATAGACTGTATATATGCATATATGTGTGTATATATATACACACTCTCTCTCAAATCTCGAATGCACACACTCCGTCTCTTCTCTAACTCCTGAGTACTGAATACAAGCGGCGCGCTCTCCATACCGAGAGCGATCAAAACGTCACGCTGGCCACGAAGCTCGGCATGATCATCGAGAACAAGATTCCCGTGAAGATGCCTGTGATTAGGGACGCCGCACCGAACATGCCTGCCGTTGACGCGTACTGCGAGTCCACCATTCTGGAAAGGATACGTTTATTACTGTATCTGGTGTATACATATCATAATGTGCAATTATCTTCATGCATATTAATATTGCGATGTAATATTATAGTCTGTTATAATAATATAGTGTATGAAATTTAATACTACAGTGTGATATTATAGTGATATATAATTGCACACGCGATAAAAGTACTTAAATTAGAAATATCAATTATCATGATTTATATATTCTTTCAACTGTCTTGCAAGTCTCTTTCGTTAGTGATACGTACTTGGGACAATACATCATTGACAATGACGACAAGTAGCCGCTGCTGAAGCCCATAGTAACGGCGATGGCCAAGTAGATCCAATCGTTGTGGATGTACACCGGTAATATTCTATGCGTGTTAGCTGGTTGATAGTTGCAAAACAGGAATAACGGTAAATACGCGAGTCGCAGGATCACGGGGATCACCAGGTACTTCTTGCTGGGCTGTTCCGAAGTAAAATGTATCGTGCAGCGTGTATATACGTAATATGCATATATAAAATGATGCATATGTATAAGTAAAATTCGAGCGTACATACCCATTGAACAAGCGACGCGACGGAGCTACCAAGCATGGCAGTGATGTTGAACGTCAAGAAACACATGACGCTACTGTAATAGTTGGGTGACACCACGAAGTTCTCGTTCGAGGACCGTATGTCGGAGTGAACGGATGGGAAGAGAGCCAGAGTGACGAAAAAGATGAGGAACGTGTTGAAGCATTGCGGGAAACACGCCTTGAACACCTTCCAATAGGGTGGCCTCTGAGTGCCTCTAGTGTTGTTCTCCAATTGTCTCTTGTTTGCCTCCTTCTGATGAATCATCTCGTGGTATCGATAAAATCTCTGTGAAAATTCCAATAACGTTAGTGATCGACTCACAGTTAGTTAGGAACAGAATAGAGCGAGTAATCAGAGTTTTACGTTTATCGGGAGGGCGAAATAAGTGTCAAAGCAAATCAGCAGGATGAACAAAGCCGTGATGAAGTAATATATGGCGGCGGTGCGTGCGTTCGTCGCTATTATTTGCGCGAGGAAGTTTATTATGGCTGTGAACGTCCCGCTTATATTCTGGAAAATAGCATAAAACATATGTATGTGAATAAATAAATAAATAAAGACTCATTATACACAATAACGATATTTAATATAAAACATTGGTACTTACCGAACCCAAGACAACGGCGCCCGTATATTTGCTCGGTAATTTCGCCGCCATTCCAAATACAGAATTTTGATAAATGCCATTGGCAGCTAAAACACAATAAAAATTTTTACTAAAACTTTTCTTCTAACGCTATAAAGTTTGATATGATTGGCTCACTTACTATTTAATATGACAACGGAGACCATAGTGATCCAGAAAAATATTCCTGGCCAGCCAGAACTGTCAGTCATCGCCAGCACGATGGTGAATACAAAGATCAGAACTAGGACGAAGATACTCCATACTATGCGCGTCGTCAGGTTGCCTCTGAAAAGTTAAAAGCGAATATCATTAGCGAAACTGAACCATTATGTCACCGACTGTAGTGACTATTTTATCGTAAAAGTAACAGCAAGTAATTTATGATTAATAATTACTCGGTATAAAAGATAATTGTGACTGAAATAATAGTCTTTCATACCGAACAAAGTACGTACCCCAATTGTAGAAATACGTTCAGCCAATTGAACAGCAGATTCGGCACTTGCGCGGAAAATCCCAGATACGCGAGGAAATTCGTCGCGTAGTTCGTCTCCACGCCGGTGTAATCCTTGGACAGTTTGTAACTGACAAAATACTGCAAGAACAAGTACGGAAATTATGACAATTGCTGAAAGTGACTCAAGATGTAAGAACTGCCATGTCGAAACAACTCTCGCTCACCTCTTTAGCCGTTATGAACATATTCCATGGCATCAAGGCACCGATTCCGTGAAGTATCATTATGCAAAATACTAAGTTTAATCTGAAAAAAAAAAAAAAAAACCGAATATGTAATAAGATATATTAGTGGCGTAGCC